AATCTAAATTAGTTTTGATTCCTAAAAAAACACAACAAAAGTGAGGATTAGAGATTGCTAGATACTACAATAAGTCACTGCTTTGGTTGGTTTTGAACTAATCAATAAGTCACTTATTGCTAGATACTACAATAAGTCCAACATGGAAACGAAGCAAAGAGAGCCAACAACAATTGATAAAATTTCAAGATCATCAATACTCACCTTGCATCTTTCTATACCAAGAGATTAGAGACAAACTCAGAGGGATTCTTTTGAGTAGTTCACATATCTCAAACCATGTTGAAATTTCTTATGAGATCAATTTCTAGTGCTTGATTATGAAAATAGAAACANCAGCAAAAAACTCTATAACGTACCCAATGGTTTGAATACCCATGANCAAATTCTCCAACATCAGATTCTTCCTCATCTCTACCTTCATCAATCTCAATTTCTACAAAAAAACCATGAAAGTAATATGTTAAGTCCATCTCTACCTTCGACTCCTGCTTCTATCATTATCATGTTCACCAAGAAACCGTTCCATAACTTGTTAAGCANAAAACAAAGAGGCCACATCAGTTACCAAGTTCNCAGTTTCGCGGTCATAAACACACTAGAAGAAGCAGTAACATCTTTCTCTAATGATCTTGTTATGGATCCCCAAAAACTGCTTGGATAATACATCTGAATATACAACACAACGTAAGAATCATCAAATACGAACAAACATAAAGTCATACAGCGAGAATTACTCAAATTCTTTAACCAATCAAAGCGAAACTACATCAAACCAAACACCCCTGAAACCTTAAACAATCCAACAATCAAAATCGTGAAATCTGCGATTCAGATTCCTCGAGAAATCCAACCTTTATCCTCATGATTATAACAACTGATTGCAGAGAGAGAGACCTCGTGATTATACCAACCGATTGCAGAGAGAGAAAGAGCCAAAGCTGAAAACAATAGTCATCAAAAATTGGCGGCGACATGGCGTCTTCGGCGACTATGACATCTAAGATTTACAACAGAGAAGAACGGAAGCAGTTAATCTTCGTTCTAATTATTCTTTCTTTTGTTTCATTGTGTTCGAACCAGAGAGAGATCGCCATTATCGCAACCAGAAAAATCGCGATGATTTTTCTTTTTGGGTTTCGACAACCGTCCAATTACACCACGACACGTGCCCACGAAGAAACCGTCTCAGCGGTCTCGGCCTACTGATCCGTCTCTCACCTGTTTTAAGCCCAAAATTGATTTTTTAATTATTTTTAATATTTTTTAATCCCATGAAACCTACTCAGTATCATGGATAATGATGCTCTAAGTGTTACACACAACTAGACCATTTATTTTTAATTTTTTAGTTGGATTAATCAGCAATTAACTTATTCAACCACATGCATTTTATTTTTTTTAGATATAAAATTTTTTACTTCATTTTAGAATAAAAAAGTTGTATTTTCTTTTACAAAAGTATCAATATTCAACATTTCATCATGCGTGTTAATCGGCCATTTTGTTTGGGAGTCTTTTTTAGTGTTCAAACATTCATAAGATTCCAAAAAAAAACAAAAAAAGTGTTCAAACATTCACTTTAGAGAAAAGAAAATTATATTCTATACTTGCTTGAACCGATTATTTGACCCAATTTTGGCTGACTGATTTAATAAAATATCATAATGGTAGGATGATTTTGGATTTTGGCCACGTGGGATAATATACTTCACAAAGTATTGTATTTTTGAGAATTGTCCATTATTTTACTTGTTTATGATTTTTTTACTATTTATATTATTTATTGTTATTGGTTGAAAACAAATCTGTAAAGTTCATGACCTTTTTTTGCATAATAGGGAATTAGCATGGTCGTCAAAATATATAGATTATAGGCTTTAGTTAATGAATACGGAAAAGATATACCACCTCTTGATACTTTTCATACCACCTCTTGATACTTTTCAACAATACATGAGGGCCTCATGATGAGGCAATGATTGAAACTTGCGCAAATGGTTCAAAGAACCACGATGAGGATGTTGACTCGTCGGATAATGCATATCTAAGACCATTTCTAACCCAACACAAAATTCTGCACCAAATCTATTTTTTTATAAAACTTTCTCCAATCCAACACTATTTCCAACATCAAAATAGTGTAAAC